CACCCTCTTCGCTGGATAGTCTCCCGTTGGACTGGCGCTAAGTGGCCTCGTCATTGCGCTCATCGGCGAACTCGCTCCATCGTCCTTCTTCGTCGTTGTCGTCTTGTCTCGCTCCAGAAGCTGTTCCTGCTCATTCTTCACTATAGCCAGCAGACCGTTCATTAGCGGATTCGTCTCCATTGTCTAGAATATGTGCTATAGGAGGAGACCATTTGAGTTATGAGATTGAACTATGCTATTTGGTATGAAAATCAACTAAATGCTAGCCGAGAGCTTCCTAGAGTGCTAAAGTGTTACTATCTCAAGTTAGGTATTTCACCCAACCCTCTCAATACAGGTAATAGCGCTAATAAAATGGAAAAGCAGTTGCACAGACATGCCTCTAATTCTTCCATCGAAGACAGCTTCATGACTCTTCTGGAACAATACGTACTTGACCTTTTAGTAATATCAAAAGCATTTATCTATGCTGATGAAGGATAATCACAGCTGGTTCCAAGCCATTGTAGACTTTACAGATTTTCTACGATTTCGAAAAAAACGTAACAATTTACGCTACAAACGAGAAAAGCAATATTTCGTTTGAACATATGTTAAAATGATTTTTCTCTAGTTGTCTACACTTCTTTATTTTCGTCATTTACTACCTTTATAGGGAATAATGGCTTATGAATAAAGAGAGGTCTGAAATCATGAGGAAAGCGACTGAGATCTGAGCGTAAAAATCTCAGATTCACACATAGCAATTTTATGGCTCGAACTAGTTTGTTTGTATTCTTTAAATTTACTTAGTTTATGTAATAATAGTATATGTAAATGCGTGCCAGCTAAAAGTATTTCTTGCAGAGTATATTGACCTGTGATATAATTTATGTTAAAATAACCAGAGGAACAGATGGTCAAGAAGTCCTGACTTTGGCAAAAGGAATGGAATCTAAGACCAATGTATTTTGTGCAAACTGCTTTTTTCGGAACTCACAAGCAAGGATTTACTATTTTAGAGGGAATAACTTCCAATACTAGATTTGAAAATGAAATCAAAGTTGAAAGAGATTGTGCATTTCACTATGCAGAAAGTAGCTAAATGGGTTATAATGTTCTCGATGTATCCGGGGCGAGTTACAGTTTGTTTTCACCTAACAACCATTCTGTTTAGTTGGCGCATCAAATTTTCATTTGATCAAAAAAACCACAATCGAAATATAAAAAAAA